TTGGAGTTTCCCATTGCAACACAGCATCAACCTTCGATGGATCTACAGCAATACCACTACCTGAAATTACATGACCAAGAAAACTAACCTCTTTTAACCAAAATTCACACTTGGACAGCTTTGCATACAACTTTTTCTCCTTCAAAACTTGCAATACTACTCTCAAATGTTCAACATGCTCTTCTTCTGACTTAGAGTAAATCAAAATATCATCAATGAACACCACTACGAACCGATCCAAATAAGTATGAAAGATACGATTCATATATTCCATGAATACTCCCGGCGCATTAGTAACACCGAAAGGCATCACCGAATACTCGTAATATCCATAACGCATTCTGAAAGTCGTCTTCTGAATATCTTTATCCTTCACTCTAATCTGATGGTAACCCGACCTCAAATCAATCTTACTAAACACACGGGTATCCACCAATTGGTCCATCAAGTCATCTATTCTTGGAAGCGGATACTTGTTCTTAATCGTCACTTTATTCAACTGTATATAATCAACACAAAGCCTCATACTTCCATCTTTCTTCTTTACCAACAACACTGGAGCTCCCCACGGCGATACACTTGGTCTTACAAACTTCTTCTCAAGTAACTCTTCCAATTGATTCTTCAACTCTGACAACTCAGATACAGACATCCTGCATGGTGCCATAGACACAGGTTTGGTACCAGGTACAAGATCAATAGCAAATTCAACTTCCCTCTCTGGCGGTACATCAGGAATCTCATCAGGGAAAACTTCAGGAAATTCACACACCACCTGTAATTCCTCGATTACAGCTTTAGTCTCTACAGATAGCGACGCTATCAACGAGAACATATGTGCTTCCTCTTGCATCAACTTCCTCAGCTGTCTAGCAGACAACAAACCATCTTCCTCTTATTCAGGAGTAGAAAACTTCACCGACTTGTCATAACAGTTAATATGAACACAGTTATGCTCTAACCAGTTCATACCCAAAATCACATCCAAACCTCTTAACGGTAAACAAACTAAATCAACAACAAAGTCTTTATCGAAGATCGACAAGGGACACTTAGTACACACAAAAGAAGTAGTCACCAACCCCTTGGCTGGAGTATCAACGACCATTTCTCCATTCAAAGAAGACAACACAAGACCCAATCTTTCAACACAATCAGCAGCAATAAAACAATGCGTAGCACCAGTATCAATAATAGTAATTAAAGGAGTAATATTAATGAAACATGTACCTATAATAAGTTTGTCCTCAGCAGCTGTCTGATCCTCAACCAAAGCAAACACTTTACCACTTGACTGAGCCCTCTTCGGTTTCGGACACTAACTACCAATGTGCCCTTCCTCTCTACAGTTGAAACATATCACATTCTTGTGTTCACACTCAGACACAACATGTCTGTTCTTACCACAACGGTAACATCTCTTCACTTCAGCAGTGCACACATTACTCTTGTGCCCAGGTTTTCCACACTTAAAGCAAATCACACCAGTAGGAGAATCTCCCCCACTAGTCCTCTGACCATGAGCAACTTTCTGTTTACCTTTCCCAGTTGGGGAATCATAAGGCTTACCACGATTCTGTTGGTGCTTACTCCTCTTCTCACTAATAATCTTGTAATGTGCATTATTATCCTCTTCATAAATCCTACAGCTATCAACCAAATCAGCAAAGACACAAATTTTATGATATCCGACTGCTTTCTTAATCTCCGGGCGTAACCCATTCTCAAACTTAATACACTTTGAAAACTCAGCATTTTCCTCAGTATAATGCGGGTAAAACTTAGCCAACTCAGCAAACTTGGCAGCATACTCAACAACAGACATACTTCCTTGCTTCAGCTCAAGGAGCTCAATTTCCTTCTTACCACAGACATCTTCAGGAAAGTACTTTCTCAAAAATTCCCTACGGAACACAGCCTAAGTGACATTCTCACCTGAAGCTTCCAATCAATGACAAGTCTCTAGCCACCAGTCATCAGCCTCGACTGCTAGCATATGAGTCCCATAACAAACCTTCTGCGCTGGAGTGCATTCCATCACGCGAAAGATTCTCTCAATCTCTTTCAACCATTCCAATGCTCCGTCAGGATCATACTTTCCCTTGAACGTAGGTGGATTCTCTCTCTGGAAAGTCACCAAGCTACGAGATCCAGCATTCCCGTCAGCATTCGGCTGATTCTCCATCGCATGAGCCATTGCTTCTAGAGTAGCAGCAAGGGCAACATCATTCCTTCCAGCCATCTCAACTCCTCACTACAACATAAACAACGGTTAGAACTCAAAATAAAAATACTCGATTGTTAGACAACTAAGACTCGACGACAAGGTCGGACCAACCTTTTGCTCTGATACCAACTTTGTAACACCCCAATTCTACCCCAAGCAATTATACAATTAAATTAGAGTTATAAAATTTCAATCATACAAATGAATCGGGACGTCACAAATTCTTCTAACAAATTCATTGCACTCATCGTGGATATATAACACTATTTCAAAACATCGGATGAACCATCAACATAACGTCTTTAATTAAATAATTCAACAACTACGCAGCGGAATTCTCAATAACATCTTTAAAACGACAAAACATCAACTTCAAAACATCTCATATTCAATAGTAATCAATTTAAAGTTCAACAACTAAAAATCAACAATCTAAAATCGGCAAGCGTTCATCCCCCCGAGTGTTACATATGAGAGCAATGTCACCAACTCGAACTACTGAAGGTATACAACCTTCACTCTCGATTACCTGCACGTTACCAACATAAGGGCAACATTCAAACAGAAGGGGTGAGATATCTAATAATATAATAAAGCGCGTGATAATTAATATATTAAATTAGATCAATACTATCACCACTCCTCATCTCATAATCAACAACAATTACAGCATATATACATATTCGTCAACATCAAAAGACACTTCATCATTCACTCATATAATGCGACTCAATACTATGCAAATGCATGTGGTACCATTGGAGCAGAACTCCCATCTCAAAAATCTGCCAATTAATAGAGGCATCAACAAGGCATAGCCTTCATCTCAAAATTTGCCAATCCAGGCCATCTCAACGAGCATAAGCCCCTTCTCAGAAATGCAATGTATGCTACTCAACATGAATGTAATATCAACACCCAAATTAACAACATCTCAAATCATCTCAAAACATCTCAATTAACATCTCAAAATAACAACATCTCAATCATTTTAAAACATCTCAATTAACATCTCAAAATAACAACATCTCAAAATAACAACATCTCAATCATCTCAAAACATCTCAATTACAGCATCTCATAAACATCTCAAAATAATTTATTAAACATCATTTGTTCATCATAATTATCAAACACAACTTTAATAGCCACATCTCACTAATAACTCAGCTGTATATTACTACTACAGTAATCCATACCGTTACTCTGCAATTTTACATATTTATTGTCACTAATCCTATTTTCATGATTCTAACAGCAGCCTCTATACATCTACTATTCATCATTCTGTCCAAAACATCAGCACAACGACCAATCACGGGAATTAATCCTAAATCCTAAATTAGTTACTAGGATTACACTTCTTATCCATCGTTTTAACCATCTAGAGTAAAGTTCATCGCGTTAGCTATCCAACACTTCAAACGACATCTTAAAACTTAAGTTACAGCAACTAAAAACTGATTCTGTCAAAAACCAGACCCTATGTATCGACACAAAACCCTAGGGATCGACTCATCTTGCTTCATCTGTACACTATGAGTCGACACATCCTCCTTATGGATCGACTCATCCTGGCTTTAAATCACAGCATGTATCGACACATGCTTCTCACCGGTCAACTCATCCTGAGTCTCACACACTCATGTATCGATGCAAGCCCTTCTTGTATCGACCCATCTTCAGTCAATCAGCCTTCATGTATCGACACATCTAATTTGGGATCGACACATCCTGCTACAGTCTGTATAATTTTCTGCATTTTCTTCTGTAATTTCACTACGGGAATTATGTTACAGTCCTACAAACCTCATTATAATCATGGTAAATCATCACATATCATTAACCTCTAATATTACATCGATTTAACAATATATGGCATCTTTATTCTTCTAAAATTCATCAAACCTTCATCATACACCATCATATACATCCAATTCAAGAACAAACAACAATCACATCTAACCCCACATATCAAACATCATGAACCCAATTATAAATTCAGAACCCCACCCTTACCTTGGATTGAAGGTCTCTCTATAATTTCCGGGTTGAATTCTCGTTCTTGCCGTTTTCCACTTTTTTCAGCAGCTTCACGTTCTTCTCAAATCCTTATTTCTTTCTACTGCTTCTTTCTTCTCTTCCTTCTCACAAATAATAAAATAACCTAATATTCTATTATACCTTATTGGGCTCAAAATCTACACCCCCTTATTACTTCCACTCTCTCAAAATAAGCCCACATTAAATAATATTAACTTCTAATATTATTTCACCACATGATAATATATCTCTAATATTATTTCTCCACATAATAATATTATACCTCTAATATTATTATTTCTCCACTTAATAAAATAAATCCAATTATATTATAACACATCTTCACAAATATTCCAAAAATAATTTAATTAAATAATTAATTAATTTACGGGCGTTACACCTCACCTATCACGACACTGTACTTCATAAACACATGATTATATTAATAATATTAATGGAATATAACTCAACTCAATTACTCTAAATATATTCCCACTTCTTTTCAAATTACTTTTGACATCTGTTTTAAGTGAACTTTGAACTCATAAAACACCAAACATTATTTCTCTCTGCTCATGCTTAAATCAAAAGAGTAGTTTCCATACAAAAATCAAATCTAAGTAACAACACTCCATGTGGGAACGATACTCTTATACTTATTACTTGTTGCAATCACAACATGTACACTTGCATGTGACACATCTTTTAATATTGTAAACAAATACGGTGGATGTCGGGGGAGAAGCCAGCTTGTACTAAGAAGGAATATGGGTGGGGATTCAGAGATTTTAAAGTCTTTAACATGGCTATGGTTGCTAAACAGAGTTGGCATCTGCTGATAAAACCTTATGCTCTTATATCCAGAATCTTCAAAGCAAGGCACTATCCTAGAACTTCTTTCTTCGAAGCTAATCTTGGTTATAATCCTACTTTTGTATGGCGGAGTATTTGGAAAGCGAGAGAGGTTTTAACACTAGGTTGTAGGTGGAGTATTGGGAATAGAAGTCATATCATGGCAATGAATGAACCTTAGCTTTGAGGAAAAAGAGAGGGTTGTCTAAGTGACGGACAAAAGCAAGGTGTATATGATATTACCATTAAAAATATGATGTTTCCTGATGTAAAACAATGAGATATGCAGGTGATAAGAGAGTTGTTTGATTATGCAGTAACTGAATAAATTTTACAGGTCCCATTGATGGAAGATGTTGTAGAAGATATAATGGTTTGGAAAATGAGAAAAATGATGTTTATAGTGTGCAATTTGGGAACAAAATGTGGAGGAGTTCCCAAATGAGTGATGCTAATGGGAGAGTGGAAGAGGATTGGTGTAGCCTCTGGAATATTAATGCTCTGCCTAGATTTAAACATCTCTTATGAAGAATTTGTAAGGTGTGTTTACTGATACATATTAGACTTCGTCAACATTATGTTCCATACCCGTCAGTTTGTCTGCTTTGTGAGAATAGTAATATAGATTATTGACATGTGTTATTTGGGTGAACTGGGACTAATCATTGTTGGAGGGTAGCAGGTTTGTCCAATCTTATAATCATTATGTGAGTTAAGTTAATTAATGATACTAATTCTCTTATTTTTTATATTTGTAGTACGGAGGATAAAAAGCTTATTTGTAGAACTACAATTATGATAAATGTGAAACTGGGTATGCTTGCATTTCATAATGGCATGATTGGTCTACAACTCAAAAAGATCATGATATTGCGAATGACCATAATCACATTACGACTTGGAACCCGCCAACTGCAAGGTGGTTAAAGTGCAATGTAGATGCTAGATTCAATAAACTCTGTGGTACTACGAATAGGGGTCGATATGTGCCAGAGGGTCTCAGAGGGTGTTCGAAAGGAACGGTGACACATGATACCAGTTTTTTAGGGTCACCAGTTTATTTTTAACTATAAATACGGAGAATGCTATAACACACCAATTCATTTCTATAAAGATGTGTATTAACATGATGCACCTTCTTACTTTTAACATTAAAAGATTAATGGACCAATAAAGAGATTTCACTTTCTTTGTAATTAATTAAGTTTAATATTATTAATGTAACATTTCACTTTCACTTGTTTATTTAACTAGTGTGTATGAAATAATTTTGCTAATTTCATTATTGTAGGTGTAGTTTGAGATTTCGATATCCTCTTCATCATAGAAGCATAAGTCATGGTCCTTAAAGAAACAATTTATGGAGTTATACTTTTGCATCTGAAAAATATAATTTTTGAAAGTGATTCTCAAAGAATAGTTCAAGCTCTCCATTCCAATCATAATGATAGATCCGAATTTAGTATAATTTTTATGTCAATTAAAAATTTATTACAGGTATACCTTAACTTTGAGATTAAATTTATTAAACGCCAAAAAAATTTGATTATGCAATTAATTATGAAGGCGGCCAAATTCTTAAAACTAAATGTAATATTACTAATTTGAGTCCTCGTTATATTGAGCTAACACTTGATTAATAAAATACATTGAACATCAATTATCAAGAAAAAAAATAACCGAACATCCCCGTACATCTATTTTTTTATTTATTTAAGATATTTATACATGCATATTTTGATCCGACGATTAGGATTGAAATATGAAAATAAAAAATATAAAAGAATGTTGAGTGGTGAGTGACAACAGTAACCAGACAAATGTTTTTATTTTTATTTTTGTTTGGGTCTTAATGTTTAAATTTAAGTGTTCTATTTGTGCCGTCATTTAACAATGATTAAGATTCGTTGAAGTCCATTAAACTGGTGCCAAAATTAAAAAGAAAAAAAGAATCAAAAGGAAAAGATAACGTTGATATGTCACATAAAAACTTAGTTTTCAAATAAACAAGTGATTTGATTTACAACACTAATTTACTAATATTTTCTAGTGCTGCTTATCATAGCCCTCTCAAATTTTTAGATGTCATGTAGTATAAATTAGTCATACTTTAGTCAAGAAAAAATAATAAATTCCTATTTATTTGAGTTTTAACTATAACAAAGATTTTAGGAGTTTTATTTAATTATAATTTAATTATGAAAATTTTAGATTTTGGATAGTAACATATTTTACACTGTTTATTAATAAGTGTAGTAAAACAATTTCAACTCATTAAAATTGACTATTTTACTTGCATTTTTTTTAAGAGTAAACGAAAGTTTAAAGTCACATTATTTAATAACCTTGCTTCGTCTCACTTTTTTGTGAACTTTTACCACACAAAAATTAATATAATTTTTATGATTTTAGATTTTTTTTAAAAAATTAGGTCATATTATTTAATAAGTTTGCTTCGTCTCACTTTTTTGTGAATTCTTGCCATACAAAAATCAATATAATTTTTTTTTATAATTTTAGACTTTAAAAATAAAGTGTACACATATTATCCTTCTTATTTTTTAAAGTGATAAAGGTTTTTGAATTTTTTTAGCAATAATTATATTTAAAAAAAAAATAAGTAATCATGTTTCTGAGAAAATTACATAAATAATTATGTTTCGAAATATATAACAATTGAGGCGCCATCTCACTTGACGCATGCACTGACCTTTTTATCTTAGGCGTCATCTCACTTAGCGCATGCACTTTGTTTTAGCCATGTGAGATGGTGCAAGCATTATAATATAGGGGGAGGCGTCATCTGAGATGACTACTATGTGCAATTGTATTTTTTATAAATAATACTCATTTCTCCATCATTCTTCACACGTTCTCACATTATCTTCTCATTTTTTCTTTGTTCTTTGCATCATGACATCTTCCATTTTTATCAGGGATGAATACGTTATTTTCTCGGCCACCAAACCTCCGATGAAAATGAAATTTAGGCACATTCACTCTATGGAGCGTCTGAAGAGAGAGTTGATGTGATGGCTAGAGGGAGACATCGATGCTGGAGAACAAATTAGAAGGATCCAGAGAAGAAGAACAGTCACCTCACTTGCAACTGGAAGACATCAATCTTGGTTGAAGGAAGTCAAAATAGATAGAGACGTAATGGCGATGATGCATGGCTATGATACGGTGGAAGAACTGACTTGGGTGTTTTGCGTTTTATCGCAATTGTTGCGGATAACAAGAGTCACCACCAACTTTTCTTTTATCTAATAAAGGAAAGGGTGAAAAGAACAGGTAAGACATTTTGAGAATTTTCTTGAGTTCGGAGGGTAGGTTATGAAAAGGGAAGATGTTAACACCCTTTTTATCCGTAGTTATCTGTAGGCTCTTAGTTGCTAGCTCACTTTGAAATGCTTTGCAAAATGTGTTTGTGTTTGTTTGAAAGTATTTTTGAAAAGTGCCTTCGTTTAGGCGAACTTTGTAACGATTCTTGTCTCTATAAGAATGCATACAAAGTGTTGACTTTTGAAAATATTTCATGAAAGTGTTGGTGTATTTGAAAGATGTTTTGTTTTGAAATGTTCGTGAGCAAGCAACTACGAGCGTTCTACCTACTCAAAAAGTATTTGTTTTTTTCTCCTCCTTTAGATAGTGTTATCTTACCATTAGTTCGTAAGAAACCTTATCATTGGATGTGAAGGGACAAACGTGGCTCATCGTACAGTCATAGAAGATAACTTGTAAGATGTTTTAACAATTTGTCGTAAGGGACTAAGATCTTTTACCGAAGGCAACATCGAAAGATCATCGAGGGACTACGATCTTTTAATCGAGGGTCTTTGCTAAAGTATCCTACGTTCGAGGGATACGATTGTCTTTATCCGAGGCAACAAGTGAGGTTATCCTAGAGGTGCATGTGTGCAAAGTGTGTTTGATTTAATTATTTTGTCTTGAATCAGGGTTTTGCTATGTTTGATTTTATGTCTTGCCATACAATCCTATTAAACTAAGGAAAGCGATAAATTGTGGAATTTAAATGTTCTACGCTATTACATGGCTTTAGGGATGGGGAGTAAATATTGTGTGAATGGGGGAGAAAGCAATAAAACCCTAATTATCTATTACAAAGCTTTGGCAGTTACATAATAGGAAAATACGAGAAAAAATAAATCTACGCTATTATATTTGAGGGTGCAAACCTATACAATTTTATCTAGGAAAAATAAAAGGGAAATGAATGTGATTTTATGAATTTATTTAGTACAAGTTGTGACAAAATGATTTTAGTTTGAAACATGTTTTTGTTGTTTATTAAGAATAAAAAAAATTAAGAAAGGTACTATTTTGAATAAATTATAAATAATGAAAAACATTTTTTGTGATATTTTTTATATTCATAAAGTAGAGGTGATAAATAAATAATATGCAAAAAATCAACTCAAAAGGAGTTGTGTTGATTGGTTAAATAAATTGTTGAAGTTTGTTAAAAAAAGTGAAATAAAACAAGTGATAAAATTTAAGTTTGGTCCTGCCAAGGCTTGAAATCAGGATCTCCAGGTTATTGGCTCAAAAGTTTACCACCAGGCCACGTGCATATGCTTGTCAAGAAAATGCTTGCATGATATCATATGTGAAACCTGCCTTCTGAAATCACAAAATCACAAAATAACACATAATATGCAAAACAGGAGTTCACATTGGTTCGAACCCACACCCTTATGGTCAGAGGTACTTGAAAACGCGTGCTTGGCGCTAGAGTGGCTATTTCATCCGTTTATAAAACAACTACCAATAAATACAAAATAAACTCGTTTTCAAATTTTGATTTTTCTCTTCTTTTTATTCCCTGCATTCATCGTTACTGTTACTGTAACAACATATTTCCATTTTTTTTCAAAAAATTTTAACTTCCTCATTTCTCAACCAAATTAAGAGTTGTAAAAACCAAACTTGCTTGATTTTTAATAAGGAATTCAACCATGTAATTTTTAAGAGCTATAAATCAAAGGTTTTCACGAATTTCTTATTGGTACCAAACAAAAATCTAAATGTCCCAAAAATTCAGTTTCAAAATTCTCATCCCAGTCAATTAAAATAAAATTTAAAGATTTGGTTAGCTTTATAGACATGATATCTACATTTTATATTTCAAAAGTAAGTAAAATGATGCTTGTATCAAGA